TTTCTTTGTTGTTTTAATGTGATTCGTTCTCACAGCCTCACAAAAACTACACACAAGAGGGACTGGTGGCTCCTGTTTTTCAGAGATGTGGTGGCAAGTGCAGCTTTTTATATGCAGTAACTTAGTAATTCAGTCAGTGCTAAAAAATACCTGCAGTGAATCAGGTGAGTACCTACCATCTTGAATATCTTACTGGAGAGGACAGTAAATAATGTTCTGGCTATAGGCTTGAATCCCATCCAGTGTTTTTGTTTACAGAAATGATCTCCCAGCTTCCACTTAAGCAGTTGTTTAACATTACTTTCCTTCAGCTATTGGTATCTGTCATTGTATATATGTTACTGTGTTTTTACTTGGCTTCCTAAAATCTAATACACTGCCCTACATCCATTCTATTAAATCAAATGAGATTCATAAAAACTTTGACCAGGTGCTGAAATTGCTGGTCAACACACTGAGATACAAACAGGTACCTCCCCTCTTGTGATGGGGCCCATGAAGTGTTTGAAACTACAGGTATAGGAGGCCTTGCAAAACCTTGCCACTCCCCTCCTAATGCTCCTGTGGTTGCACTGAGCCGCTCTTACCATGAGGAAAGCCTGGGATGATATTCACTGGTAGAGTACAAGAACCAGTTGAACTTGCATGTGCCGAGATACTGCAGAAAAACTACACTGTGATGTGACACCCACTTCACTTATATGGCCAGAATACACCCTAGCTCTTCTCCAGCCTAGACTCACAGATTTTCTTTTCAGAAAACCAGAGTACAAGGAGAGAGCATGGACGATGTCTAGGTTTCATCCTAGAAATAAGTCATGAGTCTGGAGCATGTGCCTCTGCCTATGAAATGAAGGGAAGAAATCCTAGGTTCCAGCGTTACTGCTGTTTTGTGTTGCTTGCTACCATATTTACTGAAAACATGCCTGGACTTTAAAAGTAGATATCAGCCTTTTCCTGGACTACTTGCTCTCACTATATGAACTTGTATCAGAGTGAAAGATGTGACATTCAGAAATGTGGGTAGAGAAGGTTCACTTGGTAACAATACTGCAGGGCTTGTCTTCGTATTTTAAGCATGTTATCGCCGGGACTTCTCTGGCAGTGGTGAAAAAACTTAAATTTAGCCTTAAGCACTGAGGGAGGTAATAGGGCACCGATTTCCCTCTCCAGAAGTTAGTCCCAAATGGCAGCCTCCCTCCCAATCCCCTGGGGTAACTATGAGTACAGTGGAGATGTGATCAGGGCATTAGAGACATAACAGCACCTTAGGATAATTGAACTTGACCATAACCAAAGCGATGAGATTACCTTAGAGCTGGGCAGCTAATACACAGGGAAGAACTAGATATATTTAAAATAAAGCAGTATAATGTGAAAGAAAAGCACATGATGTTAAAAAAAATTAGCTTAAAGATAAATCTCTCAAACTTCCATCCTCTGAAGTTTATTAAAGAGAATTGAATTGCACTGGAGTCTGTACCCTGATCATCCCGCAGTAAATCAAATGTTAGCAACAAAGGCTGAAGCTGACCATCTGGTTCATTTTGCCCAGTGCTTTGCTATCCCAGGCAATCATGTTATACACACCATTTAACACACTGATCAAGCATCAATTTCCAGTCTTGAGGAGTTTGCTTGACTTTGTTCTTGAACCAAATGTAGTCTCTTGGTTTATAGTAGCCATCTAATCCCCTCCACGATCTACAGCCCTCTGGAGAGACACACTGTTCCTTCTTGCAGCCCTTCTCTGCACCTGTTCAAGTTGGATTTCATCTGCATAAGCAGAGGTGACCGAAATTGCATGGAGTACTACTGTATTTATGTCTAGGCATTGATAGCTGGTGATAGAGACTAGGAAATATCAATCTGATATCTAATGTAACTTTTATTCAAACCATTTGTAGCAGTCACATTTGTTTCTTGTTATTACTCTGAAGTGAAAATGCTCAGCTTCAGATTAGTCTGTAGTGTATTTACTGCAGGAGAAATAAATAATTCAGTTGGTATTTCTAAAAATATAATTAGTTGATGAGTCAGAGAAGACTTTCATCTTCCTAAATGTTAAGGCTTGAAGATTGAGATTATCATGATCAGTGTGTCTGACCTGTGACTCTGTCATGTCTTGGGACTCTGCCTGGTAATTCTTACATCAGTTTGTAATTAAGCTGGAAGATTGTTCAGACAAGACGGAATAAAGGGCCCAAACCGCATTCATGCAATTTATTGAATGTTATTTCACACGACACAAAAAATAGGTACACCCCACAGACAAGCCTGAATCTGGTGATTTATCATTTTAATTTAAAAATTTAAGACAATTAACATTCACTGAAGGGCTAATTTCTAATAACTCGGTGCATAGTCTTAAAACATCATACATAACTGTGAACCACTATATATGTGTGTGTGTATATATATGTATTTAAGGCAATGAAACGTATTTCTATTTATGGGAATCCAAGTCTTACCAAGAACCTGTATCAGCTATGTGAATTGTGAAAACAGAAAAGGAGACAGCTGGGATAAAATGAAAGGGCATAAACTAATCAAACTCCAGACTGCAATAAAAGCTGCCATGAAAGAAGAAAAAATGAAAAACAAAAATGAACACCACATAGAGTAAAAGATCAATATTTTATTGACTGGAAAACAGACCTCTGTGTACTTGTTGGTCAGTCATTATACATATTGATTCTATGCCACTGCAGTTCAGCTCTGGCTTAGCTATGATGTGTAGGTTTTGTGCGGCAAGGTTTTGGTAGTGGTGGGGCTACAGAGGTGGCTTCTTTGAGAAGCTGCTAGAAGCTCCCTCTACGTCTGCCCGGCGGGCCCCAAGACGGCCCCTCCGCTGGCCAAGGCTGAGCCCATCAATGATGGTGGTAGCACCTCTGGGATAACATATTCAAGAAGGGGAAAAAAAACTGTGAAAGGGCACTAGCAGCTGAAGAGAGGAATGAAAATATATGAAAGAAACAACTCCGCAGACACCAAAGTCAGTGAAGAAAGAGGGGGAGGAGGTGTTCCAGGTGCCAGAGAAGAGATTCCCTTGCAACCCATGGTGAAGACCATGGTGAGGCGGGCTGTTCCCCTGTAGCCCATGGAGGTGAACAGTGGAGCAGAGATCCACCTGCAACCTGTGGAGGATCCCACGCTGGAGCAGGTGGATATGCCCAAAGGAGTCTGTGACTCCGTGGGAAGCCTGTGCTGGAGCAGGCTCCTGGCAGGACTTGTGAACCCATGTGAGGGATCCACACTGGAGCAGTCTGTTCCTGAAGGACTGTACCCCATAGAAAGAACTCACATTAGGACTTGGAATCCTACTCTGAATTAATCAGTAATAAATGAAACTAATTTTGCCAAGTTGAGTCTGATTTGCCTGTGATGGTACTTGGTGAGCGATCTCTCCCTGTCCTTATCTCAACCCATGAGCTGTTAGTTGTATCTTCTCTGCCCTGTCCAGCCTAGGAGGGAGAGTGGCTTGGTGAGCACCTGGCATCAGCCAAGGTCAACCCACCACATATGCACATACATTTTTTGTTTTTTTCTTTTCTCTCTTTTTCACTTTTCTACCTAAAGCAGTGGCTGGCTTCAGTATGAATAAAGCCCACTCAAGCCAGACAAATAACTCTTATGCACTGAAGGTCAAAGTCTAAATGAGAATATATGACTTAAAGACATGCAAGATGAGGACTAAACCAGTGCTGAGCAGTGCAGAATCTGCCATCCTTAATGTCACTGTACCATTCACAGTGGCCTGGTACAGACATCGTAACACAAATCAGGCCACTGTAACATACAGTATGGAAGAAGGAAGAAGATAAATGCTTGTAACTCAGCTCTAGATGACCTTTAATAACAGACACTCGACTGCTGAAGCTCAGCAAGGAGATATAACCTTCTCAAAGCCAGCTACCTAGAAACTAATACCTTGCACTACAAGCAAGGACTGCCTAGCTCACAATGACAACATAACCAATTCTTGACATAATATTGGAAAATACGTGTAGCGTACGGTAAGATGAATCAGGTACTGGTTCTGAAGAGTTTATAGCCTGCTACAGACAAGCAGGCATTTACAAGAAAAGGGGTAGACGGTGAATCAAAGATCCAGCAGTGTGGAAATGGTAAGGCCATTAACAGTGTCTTGATTGCTGGCAAATGGGTTTTGAGGGGAGGAAATGTACAAGGTTAAAGGGACAAGTATGAATTGGCTTTTGTGCCTACTACTAGAAATATTTTTTTTTATGCATGTATTTGAAGGTCTAGTGAAGACAATGGAGACAAAGTCTTAAGGCATATTAGCTATGGGAAAGTGTACATCAGCACTATCCAATCTTGGGCAACTCTCACTTCTTACAGTAGCTCAAAATTATTATTTTTTTTAACGTTCTAAAGCAGTTATGCCTGAAAAATTGAGTACAGTTAAACAATTTTGGGAAAGGACCTATCACTCTGTTTTTTGGATGACTAAAGATCATGTTTCTGAAGAGCAATCTCACTAATGAAAGGAAAATTACCTTTTTTCTCTTCATCTGGCCCTGGAATGCACCTTTCTGACTCGGTGGCTCTTCGTGTGAAAGTATGTTCTTTTCCTACCTTCTGGCTGCTTTTTCAGCAGCTTTTTTTTCCCAAAGTATGGAGGGAGTTAATATTTATAAATTGTTCTCATCACTATTATGGTCGTGCCCAGCTTTCCACACCAAGGTCTGCATCTGTGAAGCAGCACTAATGCCTCATCATTAGTCATATGCCATATAGACTTTTCACAATCCTTCTTGGTTCATGAGAGATGAAATGTAAATTTTTAAGCTTCTAACAGCAGAGTGCAGTGTGTTACAAGGAGAAACACAGTGTAGTTAGATTTAAAATATATACTAGTCTTTTCTGCATTATTTTCTTAATCAGTATGGGGATGTTCAAATTTTTTTACAAGCATTTGAGAAATATTATAGAATTTAAACTGCTATTGAATGACTAAATAACTGTTATACTTTTTAGATTATTTTCTTACTGCAGAGTAATGGAGTACATCATTACAGAGCGAGAATAATGCAGCTGTAAAGCTCTCCATACAGCTACGAAGCAGAGCCACATTCATGACAGAGGATATCATCCTGCCGAGTCAGGAATCCTTGGCCCACCAGCGAGACAGAGCATTTCGCACAGTTAAAACATTCCCCATGCCACTGGCGCTCTTCAAATGAAACAAATTTGGCACCTCCTGGAGCTGGAAGAGATTATGAGAAAGAAGATGTGGACCTAGTGTTTCTTGACATGATTCAGAAATGCAGCAGATATTGTTTTCTGATGTGTGATCAGGTTGTCATTCATATAGCAAACAAACTAATGAACAAAATTCTGTGGTCTGAAATATCTTTTGTTGGCTGAATTGAAAAAAAAAAACTTAAAGATTAAATAAAGTGGAAAATATTTTAAGCCACAAGTTGCTTGTTGTCATATCCCATTGTGAACTCCGAACAGAATCAGTTTATCAGAATGTCCATTCAGGTTTGCTGATCTTCCCAACAAACTCTCATGAAAATTATTTAGATACATATAGTTTCTATACATCAGTGAGTGAAAATTAATGATTTCCACCTAATTTTCTTCAAGATGAAGTCTTTGGGAAATTACTAGATCACAGACTTCCTAGGATAAGTATCTGAAACAAAACATTGGTGGTTTTTGTTTGGTTTTTTTTTTTCTGGATTGGTGGTTTTGTTTTGTTTTTTTTTTTTGTTTGTTGTTTTTTGTTTGTTTGTTTGTTTGTTTTTTATAAAATCATGCCCATTTATTGGGTATTCATCATAATCTTTATTCACTTACATATGCAACATGCACCTGTAACAATGATGCAGTACTCTTCAACAGCTGAATCCACACATAATAGAATTAGAGTGCAGAGCACCAGCAAATGCTCTCAGAAAACTTCAGCTATCATAGACTGGTGACCTATATGTCTAGTTATAAATCATCTAAGTAGACAATGATGAACGCAATAGAGCTCTGTTGCATTTGGCAAGCTTTCTGGTTTGACAGGTGTGCCTTACCAGTAGGCAGTTAATTCGTGTCCAATTTTATCATATTTGCATTTAAAAACAAAGCTGAAGAAATTACAGACACAAGGGACTTGTGTGTACTGTCCTGGGAAGAGCCAAAAGTACCTTTTCATGTATTCTTAGGGATGATTTTTAGTACAGAAAGCACTAAATCAAACAATGGAAGAACTCCTTTCAGCACATAAAACAACTCAACAGTCGGGGAATGAGTGTGATCGGTATGTCTTAGCAAGACATGTTACGTGTGACAGAGAGAAGGTCTCTCTAGTAGTTAACTGCCTCAGTCTTTCATTATAATGGGACTATTTTTAATGCTGTTTTCTAAAGTAAAGGTTTGATTTGAGAGAAGACTGATGGCTTGTCAGTCTCTAGTCCCTTCTAGAGGATGAGACTTACCTGTAATAGGTTTCTTGCAAGCAGCACACTTCTTAGCGTACAATTTGCTGAAACAGTCTACACAGTATGGATATTCATCTTTGGAAATAAACCTTTGTTCAGACAACTGAGTTTTACATCCAGCACACACAAAGCATTCTTTATGCCAAGGCTGGTCGTGGTAGCTCACTCCTCCAGAGGTTATTACCTAATGTATTGACAAAAAGGACAGAGCAATGAAACAAAAGTGTGAATCCTAAAGGATTATCCAGTCCTTCATAAGTCCTTCCACATGTTTTTTCTCTTCCCATATGCACAATAGAAGAGAGTGTGGTCACATCAACTGCTTTTCATCTGGAATATCAACTGGACTAACTGCAGTTGAGCTGAACATGTCACTTTTTTGTTTTCCTTGATTTTCTGTCACAGGATAACCTCATGGTTTGTAATACACAGGTTATGTTTTTCTGTTACAAGTGTGGATAAAGGCTTAGCATCAGGTATGCTCTCAGAAGACCAGTTCTCAGTGATGGACAGTGGATGACAGAAACGATGCTGAGATTACAGGTAACCTCCAACTGGAACTGGCATTTTGCTGTCTCTCAACTGAAACAGTATTTTAAGTAGGAAGGAAGAGACAGTAAAGAAGCAGAAGTGAGACAGAAAGGAGATTTATACTGCCAGAAGGAAAAAAATAGTGTTTGTCAGAGTCATCAAGCTTCTCACTCCCTGCAACTCACTCACAGCTCTCCACTGGTTATTTCTAAAGAGGGAAATTTCCAGTTGCTCTCTGGTTTCCATATATGTGCTAAAGAGCTGGTTTCACAGAAGCTGTGAGAGACTGTATAGAGAAATTTCTGTAGAGATGAAGATGAGCTGCAAGACAGTGTTTCTACTGTCAAGTCACATGCATGACAGTGAACAAATCAATGAATGAATGCGGTTGGAACAGGAGGAGAAAAAGTTGAAGAAAATTAATTGTAAAAATGTTCAAACCATCGAGTTTCCCTGGGGAGTACAGTCTCAGAGAAATAAAGAATAATACTGGGCAATGTGAAGCAATAAAAAATTTAAATAGTTTCCAATCCTCTTAGCATTCTGGTATTGGGCTACTTCTAACTGCCATTTGCTTTTCCATTTAAATCTCAAAATCTCTGGCACAAAATTCAAGACTCCAGTTTTACAATTTAATCTCTTTAGGCTCGAGTCTTATTTATGGGAAATGATGCAAGTTTAAAGAGTAAAATTGTATTAGTTATTATGTAGGGGGACTCTTTGCATTCTTAGAATTTTAAGAAGCAAATCCTGGTTATTTCACATAAATGCTGCTAACCTCAACTTCTCTAAGAAACAGAGAGCAGAATTGCCATATTTGCCATGTGATCATTTAATGCAAATTAAAGCTAGATGTGGAGACATGAATATATAAAAGTTCTTTCTAAAGTACTTTTTTCTATCAAAGAAAAAAACAAATAGCAGATTTTCCTTAAATTAAAAGCTTTTGTTAGAGGTAGAGGTTTATAGATAAACGTTGAAATAAATTCAGGAATTAGAAGTTATTTGATAAAGTGAGAAAAAAAAAAATTTGCTTCCAGAGTGATACAAGTACTAAAGAATAAGTGAAGTTCTGCCATAAATAACAGCTTAAAACTTTTCCCTATCACCCTAGACCTGTGTTTTTGCCAAGAAAGGTTGGACCAGATGATCCTTGAGGTCCCTTCCAACCTGGTATTCTATGATTCTGTGATGATTCTAGAATAGTGTGATACTTTGAGTGTTTTCATCAACCAGAGAAAATTTTTAAAAATGAGAAATTGAGGGAGGGATTAATTGATTTATTTGTATTTGAAGGAAAAAGAAAAACTAATTTGAAATCAAGCTTTCTGGTACCCACAGGGGAAGCATCATGTACTGAAACAGTGGGACTCTTGACTAGTAGTATCACATTTGAATATTACTTAATCTGATTATTGCCTGATACATTTCAAGAGAAAAACAGGCAAGACTGTGAACGCTTTGCTCAGCTTAGCTGGCTTATTATGCACATCAATATATCTGAAAAACGTTGGAAAGGGAGGCATGTTTATCAAGGCAAAATCAGATATTATCAGGAAAGAAAGGTTTTCATAACTTTCAATGAAAAATTCAACCTTTGTTAAAAATCACAAAGAATTCCAAAGTATTTGCTTTGGTCAATAAATTTATTTCTAATATGATCAAGCTTATATTAATACTAACTAGAAGGGGGCAGCAGACACTGTGACAGTTGGCTTTCAGTGTCTACTACCAAAAGGAAGACTCTGCTCTTACTCTTAGTACACCAGACATTTTACATGATCCAGCCCCTTCCCACACAAGCAGTATTGCCTCACTATGGCAATTTTCCCATTCTATATTTAATTACCTTTTTGCAAGAGTAACAATGGTGAGCAAATTGCTTCTCAAAACAGGGCACGCAGTAGTTCTCGTTGTCTTTGGTGATCAGTGGTTTTGTTCCCAGTGGTTGCCGGCAATACTGGCAAACGAAACAGGATTCATGCCAGGAACCTCCCTTAAATTCCATTTTACGAGAACCTGCAAAAACCCAAAGTGAGCAATCCCCCAGTTATAGCCTTATAACATAAGTTTTAAATGTTGAGAAGACTTGTTTTTAGTTTTCTGTCTCAATACTGTATTACCTAAGAAAACACTTATCCTCAATTTAATAGTTTCTAAATATGTACTCGAAATTTCAAGAACACGTTCAGAGCCATATCATCACCTGGCAAAAGATGTGCTAAATAGATTCATAGATTCATAGATTTCTAGGTTGGAAAAGACCTTAGAGATCATCGAGTCCAACCATCCCTAATCCCCATTAAACCATATTGCTAAGTAGATCATCCACCCTATTCTTAAACACATCCAGGGGTGGGGACTCAACCAGTCCTAAGCGATGATTTTGAGAGTCTGTCATATGAACCTTTTAGGGTTACTTCTCTGTGATACCTTTCAGTTGCTCAGAGTTTCTCTCAGGCCAGTCAACTCAGTGATCATTTTCAGGTACCCGGCACTGTTATAAATTAAAGATGAATTTGCTTGGATGCACGCTATGCTGTCTCTTCTTATAGCTCAGCATTTCCATCCTAAATCAACTGTTCTTTTTATCATGGTCAGCTCCACGCTTTTGGTCCAGCACAAGGACAGATGCAATCCAAAAGAAAGTTGCTCAGTTAAATGTCTGCCAGACAGGTTTCAGAGCTCTTGGCTCTGTGTAGAGGTGCCCTGTACACCTTAATGTAGATGTGTAAGTCTAAGATATAAACATGTACCTGAGAATGACTTTTCCAGTGACACTTCACCATACCTTCCTCCTCTGCTGGTACCATCAAACTGCAGAGAGAGGTGCCAGGTGCTTTGCCATTCTTTCCACACAAAGACGAGAATTACTGATGTAACTAATTAATCCTGCAATACCTATTTCCTGGAGTGTGGGGTAATTGGAGAGAGAAATTGCTGGTTGCATTTCAAAATAAAATATTTGCAGCTTCCTCCCAGCGATCTGAAGGCTGACTTCACTGTCTTTGGCCACTAGGTCTTTTCAACACAGAGCTAGCAAGCTAAAGATAGAATCATAGAATCATAGAATGGTTAGGGCTGGAAGGGACCTTCAAAGGTCATCTAGTCCAACCCCCCTGCAAGGAACAGGGATATCTCCAACTAGATCAGGTTGCTCAGGGCCTTGTCCAACCTGGCCTTGAACGTCTCCAGGGATGGAGCATCCACCACCTCTCTGGGCAACCTGTTCCAGTGTTCTACCACTCAAGATGAAGAACTTAATGCTTTAGAAACTGGTTGGCATCACCATGTTGCTTCAGTTCTCTGTTTACCCTGTTATTCCTGCCCTCAGCTCTTGCTGCAAGGATTTAGCCTCCTAGACTCTGGGGCAAAATCTGCAAGGTGTATCTACACCAGAGGACAAAAATGCAAAACCCAATATATTCTAGTGTTATCACATCTAGTAAGGAGTGCCTATTAGACAACATTCTTTTAACCATATAAAATTTAAGCAGTATATCATCTATAAATGGAACACAACTATATTGCTACAACATTTATTTCCACTAATACAGCTTTTACCTGTAATGAAAAGAAAATAAACTGTAAAAGTACACAGTTGCATCAATGCTACACATTGAACCATGACATCAGTGACTTAGTATTTATACTATGACAATAATTCTGTACAGCCCAGATCTTATTGTTGGGCATTAAGATCTACTGAAAGATAAAATTCCTGTATCACTGCCAAAATTAATGATGTCCTTAGTGAAAGGTTCCCAAACTAGTAGTCATGAGGTCATGGCAGATAGTTTGCAGCTGGTATTATACTGTGATCTGTAAAATCACAATGTAAAAGCATTGAGGGTAATTCACCATTTCAAAAGTTAGTGACCCGTTTTCCTAAGCAACCTACTTCATTTTGCCACATACGATGCTGTTGCTTCTCTTAGATGCCTCTGAAGAGGCAGCTTTTAGGCAATCTCTCTGCTGTATGAGCTTTACTGGTGTGGCAGCAATGAAAGGCATAGAGGATGTCCTGAGTAAACATGAATGAAAAGCTGAGAAGCAGCTCAGTGCAAAGAGCATAATTTTCGGGGTTGCTAAAGGCAGGAAATAAACCCATTGTAAACACTTTTGTACTTGTATTCTTTTTAGTAAAAATGCTGTTAATTATTTGAACACAGGATGTCATGTTTTGACAATTTAAACAGTTTTAAACATTTCTGAGTGAAAGAAATGGTAGGAAGAACATGAGCCAGGTCTGATACTCAAGGTCTGGTCAACATGACAGAT